GCAGGACCCTCCAGACAAGTTTTCAGGTAATGAAATTTCTCAATTGCTGAGATTGATGAATTGTTTCCGATAATGGATTGGAAGAGATCTCGGAAGGTAGGCCAGTCTTCGAATGCGCCAGAGAAAGAACTAATCTTGAGGCAAGGCAGCGACGGTTTTCCGGAAGACTCATTACCTTCTGTTTTGGAAGCTGAGCTCGGTTCCTTCACCTTGAGTTTCCGAACATGGTCGAGAAGGAGACTTCGTTGCGTGATGTACGTCACTCTCGCTGAGTTAGCGACTCTGGTCGAGTTGTATTCGCTCTCCGCGAATGCATCTTCAAGATGCTCTATGATGAGTTCATGCTGAGCCTCAAATTTCGCCCACAATCCATCCAGAAGACCGACGACTGTCTCGGCGGCTGCCAGCGGAATGTTCGCTACGCCGAGCTCCTCCAGATCTGATACTGACTGAGCCATGCGATCGCGAAGGTCGTCTTGCTTCGTCAGCAAATTCTGCAGTTTCTTACCATCACTCACTCTTTCTTTTCAGCACTAGCAAACTGAACGCGATGCACTCGACACTGCGGATGCCGGCGAGGATCCGGCTCGAAGGACCAGAATATGCCGGCAAAAGCCAATTCAGCAGATTCGCAAATATCCGCGCTTTTAGATCGAATGAAGAGATTGGAAACTCGTTTATCGCGTGACAAGTCACGGGCCTCACGGAATTTTCGTCGCAAAAATCGTTCAAGATCACAGCAAATCGGACAGCAAGCCGTGCTGGTATCATCGATGTTTTGGCGGAAAAGCTACCAAGTGTACGCAACCTGCAGCTGGAAGCCAGCGAAATAGGAAAACTAGAAAGTGAACTATTCTCGGCGGATAGTTTGGTCATGGCAGCTCGCCGTCTCATAGCCAGAGACCGTGTCACTGGTATCCAATTTTTGGTGGACACTGGAGCGGATGTCTCGACCATTCCTGTCTCAAGACGCGATCGTACTTATATTGGCAAACAGGTACTCTACGCTGCAAACGGAACGATCATCCCTATGTATGGACAAAAATTACTCCTTGATTTGGGATTCCGTTTTTTTTATGTTTTTCAATGACCTTTCATAATCGCTGAAGTGGACACCTTTATTATCGGCTCAGATTTTCTAGTACGTTTCAACTTGTAACCTGACATACGACACAAGCGTTTAATCGACGGTAACACGTTTCTTAAAGTCACTGCTCAGCTTGTCAGCAAAACTATTCCTCGGTTAACAACGTTTGCCGACGACTGCCCATACAAAGAGATTCTAAGCAAGTTTCCTGAAATAACTAGAATGTCGATCACGCACAAACAAACCGCACACGGAGTGGAACATGTAATCGAAACAACGAGTCCTCCTGTGTCAAACAAAGCCAGACGACTCTGTCCAGAAAAACTCAAGACAGCTAAACAAGAATTTGAGTACATGATGCAACAAGATTTGAGTACATGATGCAGACCTTCCAAGAGGAAGGTCCTTCCCTTGAGCTAGTCTACATCTTGTGCAGAAGAAGAATAGCGATTGGCGTCTGTGTGGAGATTACCGCAAACCCAATGAGATAACCGTGCCAGATCGTTACTCAATTCCGTTCTTGCAAGACAGCACACATTTCCTGCATGACAAAATCGTGTTCTCTACGATAGATCTAGTGCGTACATACCAACAGATTTCAGTTCGCGAATCAGATATTCCGAAAACCGTAATCATTACACCGTTCGAACTTTTCGAATTTCCTTATATGACATTCGGACTTCGTAACGCAGCACAAACTTTTCAAAGATTTATGGATTGGGTAACTGTAGGACTTGACTTCTGTTTTATTTATATCGACATTTTAATCGCTTCGCAGGACGAAACGCAGCACAAGGAGTAACTGTTCAAGGAGTAACTGTAAAAAATACTATTCGACAGACTTCAACAGCATAGCATAGCAATCAATCCGAATAAATGTGTGTTCGGACAGAAAAGTGTCAGCTTTCTGGGACATACAATCAGCGCTGAAAGAATCAAACCTTTACCCAAAAAAGTCCAAGCTATCGTTGAATTTCAGGAACCAGCTACAGTCAAAGGACTTCGATGTTTCTTAGGAATGCTCAATTTCTATAACCGATTTCTCAAAGATCTCGCAAGCATGCAAGCACCATTGCTAAATGCAATCTCGGGACGTAAACAATGCAACAACAATGCGAAAATAGAATGGACTCCTGAGCTCAAACAATCCTTTCAACGAGTTAAGGAACATTTCGCTCAAGCCACCTCGCTCGCATTTCCAGACAGCAAGGCAACACTCTCGTTGCAAACAGACGCTTCAGACAAAGCAATCGGTGCGGTATTGCAACAGTACAGCAACGGATTTTTACAACCAGTCAGTTTCTTTTCAAGGAAGCTCACGCCTACGCAAATAAAATATAGCATATATGATAGAAAATTATTGGCTATCTATGCGGCTATCAAACATTTTCGATATATGCTAGAGAGACGAAACTTTCACGTTATCACGGATCATAAACCCCTCGTGTACGCATTCAAGAGGTACGCAATCAGATCAAATGTTGCCAAGACAAACTCGCCAATTACTCTTCATTTTGAAGTTCACAACCGATGCACGTTTCAGGCGCCGAAAACATTGTAGCAGATGCATTATCTCGCGTCGACACTGTCGTGATGCCAACTAGTCTCGATATACAAGAGATTGCAAAAGCTCAAGCCTCGGATAACGAATTGCAACAACTGAAGCAATCTACATCAATCTTTGAAGCTCAAAAAGTTTACCTTATCGGAAACAGCATCTAACATTTATTGTGATACTTCGGAAAAAGAGATCAGACCTTACATTCCTGGATCATTACGAAGAGTTTTTGACATAGTGCATCAAATGTCTCATCCAAGCGGCAGAGCACCAGCAAACTGCGCAAAAATTTGTATGGCCCTCCATGGCTAAAAACATTAAAGAGTGGGCCCGCATGTCAGCATGCCAGCAATCTAAAATTCATCGGCATAACCATACTTCGCCTACCAAAATACCAATACCAGATACTCGTTTCGAGTACGAACATATCGATATCGTTGGTCCTCTACCTTCATCCAAAGGTTTCAGGTATTTATTAACAATGATTGACTGATTTAGTCGTTGCTATTCCATTACATAATTGTACAGCAAATACGGTGGCGAAGATGTTTTTCACTCACCAGATTTGGAGCTCCACGCCTGATCAGAGCTCGCAATTCGAAGCGCAGTTGTTCAACACATTAACCAAACTCGTCGGTTCTAAACGTTGTCGGACAACTGCATATCATCCAAAATCTAATGGCATCATCGAACGATGGCATCGCTTTTTAAAAACTGCATTAATGTGCCACGGTGAAACTCAATGGACAGATACACTGCCAGTAATATTACTCGGACTAAGAATTTGTTTCAAAGAGGACTCTAGACACTTCTGTAGCGGAATTAATTTACGACACTACGCTCAAAGTACCGGTGAGTACCAAAGTGAGTTTTTCTCCTCTGAAGAAATGCCGAGCGACCCACGAATTTCTGTGTAATTATGCAAAAGTTATGGCCTACACCAACCTCTCATTATATTAGATCTAAGTTATTTTTCTATAAAGATTTGTATAACTGCTCTCATGTCTTTTTCAAAGTAGAAGGCAGCAGACGTTCCCTGGACCAACCGTACACCGGACCGCATAAAGTATTAGAACGCATTTCGAACAAAGTCTTTGCTACAGAAGTCGACGGCAAATGTATCAACGCCACTGTCAATAGACTTAAACTCGCTTATTTAATAATTCAAGACTCAGAAACTATTTCGTCCACTGCGTTCCCGTCTTCAATTAACATTCCAGTGCAATATGAACCAAAGACATATCCAGCAACCAAGCGAAAGACTGTTAGATTTAAGGATTAAGTCGCGCAATATTACATTAAGCGATCAACAAGCATAAATTTCTGTTTGTTTCATTTAATTTTATTTTCTGTTATTTTCGTTCTAGCGATAATTTAATCGAACATTTAATGTATTTCTTTCCTTAACACTGGGAGAGGAGTACTGTGGCGTTGCGAGCGTTAATCACGGCGCTCGAGTTGGTTCTTCTTCCCGGCTTTCTTTTCTTTCCCTCTCTCTGGTGTCATGGCGTTCTGCGTGCGGACCTCGTGTAAGCTTCTGCGATAGTTAACCTGTTAAGACTCGATAAGATTAAGAATCACCTTGTGTTCATTGCGAGATCGACATCGATTACTGTTCATGTCATTCGGTAATTGTTAGCGCCGTCAGATACTCATAGTGTACTTTCTTAATTTCTCGTATTCTAACCTAGTAACGCGATACCGATATCTGAGCCGTCTTACACAATCACGTCTCTATTTTGTAATCTATACTTTCTAAATAATCATTCAAGTTTGTATTAAATCACCTTATGGCATATGAGTCAGAATCAACGAGCAACATTCATTCGCAAACTTAGCGATTTTTCGCCAATTCCTTCGCCGTTAGTTAGTCATCGCCGGCGCCCAGACATGCTCGCCACATTGGGCATAGCAGTCACAACGTAGCCACAATGCACCGGTAGGTGACGTCCCCTGGTGTTCGGCGCGCGGCGCTATACACTCGTACCGAAGTGCATACATATGTGTTACTAGAAACGCGGAGAAGATGAGGAGCGCGAAGCGAGAAAGTAGTGAGGTAAGGCGCTTCGATATTCTGTCCTTAGCGCAAGGCGCACGATTGAGAGAGAAAGCGTAATTGGATGTCGGCTCGCGATATCCTTTCGCTGTCTCATACATTTGTTACTAGTACGAGTGAGTACCCCGATATCTCTCGCTCGCCAATATTTATAATAATATTTTTAATACGCAAAATGTTGTAATTATGCATAAAAAGTTTTAATACACACTGTAAAAAATTTTCTGTGTGTCAGAAGTAAGTTGTCCGTTTGCTGGTCATTTTATTCGGCGAGTCATTCAAAGTGAGAAGAAGGAGAGGTGAGTGACGAATGGATTGCAGTGGAATTATGAATTCTTTTAATGAAATAAAAATGTGAATTTCTTGTATAATCATTATAACTTAACCTATTTGTTTATTAACACAGAGTTATATTGGGTCATCTAAAAAGTATCCGCGGTACTTTGTCATTAGATATATGACCATCAACACACATCTAGTGACAAAAAACCGCGGATACCTTTTAGATGACCCAATAATTCCTAATTATGTAGCAGATTATTACACAAACTCTGCCAAAAAGAGTTTTAAGATCCGTTTTCCTCAAAAAGACCATATATGTAATACTATCATATTGCTAATGCCAATTAAGAGTTGGCGAAAACACCATGGAGCAAGCGATATCTATCTCTCACTTAAATAGTTTACCCGCGTCAGTACGCGCATGCGCGCATTTTTAATCAATTTTATTACGTCTACACTGATCCGCGTCCGCATGTATTTATTGCGTCATATTATGTATATGATTATTCACGTCCAACATTGTTGTTTATAAAAGTTGTTTAAAATAAGAAACAAAAATGCGACTTTGTTACTTATGCCAGCGCATGCTCACACTCGAGATATACTGCGGAAGTGAGAGATCCGATATTCTCTATCTTGCGGTCGAACATCTCCCACTCCCAAAAAGAGGCTGCGTTAACAATATAAGAGTATATATGAAAAAGACGAAAAATTTGTGTTGAAAACACAGGACGACAAGACTGACCTTCATCTAATAATTCAATGTTATGTAAAATTAATAAGAACTTGTTTTGTGATTTTTTAGTATAAATATAATAAATTATTATATTAAACAATGTATATTGTATATTATTCCAGCTATATTTTAATGAAAATGTGGACTGAATCGAAGACTGAAAATGGCAAGCGTATGCTGAAAAAATACTATTCCAACTGTATTTGGTAAACTCGTACTTTAGAATATACAGAAAGGTATATATAAGATATATTGATTTGTTATTTTGTATTATTATGCAATTCTATCACATAATGTTTTGAATGTAAATTGACAAATTGTATGTACACTATAATAAAGTACTTGTATACCTAATAAAAAATTAAATATACTCATAAAAAGGTAGTTATTCTTAAAATTCTATTTTTAAACTCCTTCATTTTTATACTATTTATTTTGACAAATTTATTAAACAAATTTAATTTTCATTCTATTTATATTGGGTCATCTAAAAAGTATCCGCGGTTTTTTGTTCTTTTATTTATTTTACTTTTTATTTTATTTTATTAATATTGTAATATTATGTTATATTATATTATATTTTTATATTTATTGGGTCATCTAAAAAGTATCCGCGGTACTTTGTCACTAGATATATGACCATCAACACACATCTAGTGACAAAAAGCCGCGGATACTTTTTAGATAACCCAATATATAATCTAATGGAATTAACAATAAACTTATCCATAACCTTGCAATAAGATGAATTTCAATTAGTTGAAACTTGCTTTACGGATAAGTTTACTGCTATTTCTATTTTTGTTAGAGTACGTAAATCTAAAACAGTATCCTTGGCTAATATTGGCTCATCAGTTTAAGTTCACGTCTTAAGGTTACTGTTACAGAAATTTTGTCTGCAGCAGCCCTAACTCCGAATCTACAATAGATTTTTAAGCCTTAAACTATAAGGAATGGACGAATTACAATCAATTATTCTCCTCGCATTCGATTGTGAGTTAATTTCTTACGGCTTAACCCTTTAAAGTATTATTAAAGTATTGTATTTTTAAAGTTTTAAGTATATTTTTCAAAATTCAAAATGGCGGACAGAAAATTAAAAAATTAAAAAATTAGTTTTGGGCTGTAAAATGGGGTCAAGTAAGTTTCATTTTAATTTTAATTTTTTAATTTTGATTTCAAATTCGCAATAAGCGAAAAAACCTACTTGACCCCATTTTACAGCCCCAGAAGTAATTTTTTAATTTTTTGTCCGCTATTTTGGATCTGCCATTTTATATTTTTTTTTATTTTAACTTCAGATTCGTAATCAGCGACTCAAAAAACCTCTCATACTTCATTTTCGGCTAATTAGTTATTGTTGATTCACAAATTATTGTTGAGTCACAATCACATTTATATATCGTTAAAAAAGGATGAATTTTTCTAGTTTGTTTATTTATAAAATACATTTCATTAACAATAGGAATGTTTCCACGGTTTTTTAAATAATAATTGATGTTCTAAACACTGATAATGTTCTTTTCATTGTAGTAATATGTTAAAAACTGTATGAAAAACATAAAAAACTGAGGTTAAAAAGGTCTCACATATGTGGGACACTGTGCCGCAAAGGATTAAAGCTTAAAACACCTATTGTAGATCCGGACCATCGATATATAGTACTGGACGGAGCATTAACATCGAAAACCATCTTGGCAGATCTAGAAAGAGATAGAGCGATTACAGGAGTAGTAGAATAGAATCAAGAGCCTTGAGATATTAAGTTGATATATCTGTGTTCAGAGTGTTACTTTTATATAAAATACACGTAGAAATCATATTTAAAGTTTTATTTTGTACCTAATAAATAATAATAATTAATGTAAATTTATATAATAATTATCGTACTGCTAGTACCAATACTGTAATGGCTCCTGACTTTAAAGAATACACTACTATCCTCCTTCTCCTGAAACATAATTCGACAATAGGACAAGAGTAGAAAGAGAGTTCCGTCCTCACTTAGCTACTTTAATCTTTCTAAGCCATCAAGACGAAAGATCAAAGAGATTTCGCCGTGCTCCGTCCAGTACTAGAGACCCTATAGTGTAATAGAGATTCACAAAGTGTCACATGATCAATATATTTCTCTGATTGGCTGGAGTAATTTGTAGTAACTGCCATATTGAATTTACTATCAATATATTCAACATCGACTCCTGTCGACTGCTGTGGAATGAGATTACTAAATAGTTATTATTACAGCGGCGATATGCGGCACAATTCGTTGGCATGGTGATAATGGATGTAAATTCTGTACATAAGGTAATTCAATGCAAAATATGAAATAATAGATAAATATTCACAAAACATTGAAGGATGAGTTTACTAACTTCATTCCACAGCAGTCAACAGGAGTCGATGTTGAGTATATTGAATATGATATATTGAGTATATTGAATATTAGTAAATTCAATATGACAATTACTACGAATTACTCCAGCCAATCAGAGAAATATATAGCTCACGTGATACTTAGCAAATCTCTGTAGAGTCTCTATCCAGGGTATCAATCATGAAACTTTATTTCTAAGAAGGAAAAGTGAAAATTTTCTCCATTAATTTCAATGGTAAAAATTTTCACTTTTCACTTTCCATCCTAGGGATAAAGTTTCATGATTGATACCCTGATAGAGACCCTACAGAGATTTGTAAACTGTCGTGAGTGATATATTTCTCTGATTGGCTAGAGTAATTCGTAATAGCTGCTATATTGAATTTACTATCAATATATACTCAACATCGACATTTCACGATTGATACCCAGTACTATATATCTCAGTACTATATATATCCAGTACTATATATCAATGATCCGGACTAATTGATCCATGAAGTATGCTCTAAAGCTAGTCACGCACATTTTCCGTAACAGTAAGTTTTTCAACCAATTGTATTGCTTGATTGTTAAGGCTTAAACACATTAGACACAGGCAATAGGCACAGGAAATAGGGAATAACAAGCTATCCAATCAGAACTCTGGGATATAATATCGTGTCACGTCAGCGGTACTTATAAAACTTGTCCAGGAATGTCCCTGGCCAAATTACAAATTTTTCCTTACTTCAATAACCGACGGAGCACTAGAACTGCAGGGACCGCCCCTGACATCTTCTCCCCACCTCACGCGCCCTACCAGCATGGAGGAGCACCTTTTTCCTGAAAGCATTCGGGTTCTAAAAACGGGACTTGCTCTCTCTCGCGAGCAGCGAGTGTTTTAAGGAGTTAGTTCAAAACCTCCCGGGGTCAGGTCTGATCGAAGAGAAACGGTCTCTTCCAGAGTATCGTGATTTCTAGTTTAATTCCTAAATTCTACTCGCGTGAGCAATCCAATCTAATCATAGGTACATCTTATTTAACCTTCCTAGTTAACCGCATCTAATTATTAGTTATAACATAAGTCTGGATATGTGTGTAGCAACTGCAGAAGTTATAAAATACACTAATTACTTTTGAGCAATTATAAGTACATATATATAATAATATTTGACGAAACCTCTCCTTTTACAATAAACGCCGCCGCGCGTTTATCGTTTAACTTGAAGATCGTGTGTGTGAACGAGCGGAATCAGCGCCGGCCAATCATCGAGCACCTACAAGGAGCCTGACCAACCGGAGTCCAGACTGAGCCGCGTGTCCCGCACCACGGACCGAACCACCAGCAAGATTCATGAAGGGATTACCGTAGGTTTCTTCTTAAC